ACCTTCCTTCCGAGGAGTGGCTGGTGGATTTGAACTGCCATTAATCATTAGAGAGATGCAAATCAAAACAACAATGAGATGTCATCTCACCCCAGCAATAATAGCAAAGTTCAACAGATCAGATAGTAACAAATGCTGGCGGGGTTGTGGAGAGATTGGAACTCTTTGCACTGCTGTTGTTGTTGTTGTTGTTGTTGTGTTGTTGTTTGCCAGAGTCGGACCTGACTCATAGCGAACCCTCCTTGGGTTTCCAAGGTGGTATCACTACAGAAGTAGATTGCCCAACCTTCCTTCCGAGGAGTGGCTGTTGGGTGGTGGGATTGTAAAATGGTACAACCACTGTGGCAAATGGTATGGCGAATCCTTAAAAAACTGAAAACAGAAGTATCATTTGACCCAGCAATTCCATTACTAGGAATATATCCTAAAGAGGTGAGAGATAGCACACGAACAGACATATGTACACCTATGTTCACTGCAGCACAATTCCCCATAGCAAAGAGATGGAAACAACCCAAATGCCAATCAACTGATGAGTGGATAACCAAATTATGGTATATCCACAGAGTGGAATACTATGCCACATTAAAGAACAATGAGGGATACGTGAATCATCTCGCAATGTGGATGAACCTGGAGGACATTATGCTGAGTGAAGTAAGTCAATCACAGAAGGGCAAGTACTGTATGAGCCCATTACTGTAAAAAGACAGAGAAGGGTTTGCTTGGGAAAGGGAACTCACCTAGGAGGTTACCGGGATGGGGAGGGAAATGGAGGGATTAATTTAGGGCTGGTTGGGGCTTACACGCTGACATGGGTAGGGGGAGGGATATATGGGAAGGATATATGACCACCATGATAACATTAGGAAATGAGAGGACACCGAACTGTCACATAAGAGATAGACAACAGATGTTAAAACCAACTAATGTGTCCACAATACCACATTGCCATTAACACCAAACACTAGGCTGTACAGATAAACATAAACACCTGAGATGATCAGACAGGGATCAGTGAATAGAGGTATACTCTAGACCAAGGATAGACTCAGCTGAGGCTAATCTTGTACAGACACCAGTGATACAAAATACCTGCAGTCCTTACAGAAACAATAGAAGACAGACACAGAGTAATCCCTCACAGACATCCCAACACTGTGGGAGAGAGATCCAATAGAGCTACTACCTCAGGACCATAGTACTGGGGTACACCAGACTCAATAGGCACAATAAAATACATAAAAGCATTGCTTCACATCCTACATTGGTAAGTAGCGACTGGGGTCTTAAAAGCTTCCAAGCAGCCATCTAGGATGCAGCCAATGGTTTCCTAGTGTTGGAAGTGAAGACGAACACACCAAAAAAAAAAAGAGGGCATTTAGAAGCAATCAACCCTAGATTACGATGGCCCTCGAGAACAGGAGAACTAGATGGCACCTGGCTACCAATGCCAACCACTTAGGAAAGGACCAAATCTGGAGATCCTGGATAGAGTGGGAGGGAAAACATGGAACAAAATCCAAAAACTCAATAATGACCAGAATTACTGGTCAGATGAAGTCTGGTGAGACTCCCAATACTACGGCCCTGAAATACATTCGGCTCAGATGAAGTCTGGTGAGACTCCCAATACTATGGCTCTGAAATACATTCGGCGCCTGGAATAATACTCACCCCCTGGGGCAGGCTCTCAGCCCAATGGTTAGCGAGATGTACACGCAGACCACTCAACCCAGGATGCTGCACCCACACACTCAATGGTAATACATCCCTTAACGCAATAGACCGTGGGACACCAAAGCACCAACACTGAAATTGAGGAAATGCAGGACAAACAGGAGTCCATAATTATGAGGGGCACAGGGGGAGTGTTGTAGGGTAGGGAGGGGAGGAGACTGGGTTAGGGTTGGACATGGCGAATGGGGAATGAAACTAAATGTATGTGTGACTTTGAATGTAAAACAAGCTCTTAAAATAAAAGAAAATAAAGTGCCTGATCCATGGTAAGAGCACACACACACACACACACAAAGTTTATTGCAGGGAACCTTAACTGGCTTTTCCCCATGTAGCTTTCATTAGATACAAAACATTTGGTCCAATTAAACACAAGAAACATCAATGTTTTGGAGAAAAATTTGAGATTTACTTGTCAAATGAGATAAATCCTTTGAAAGTTATAATTTTCAACTCAACAGTTATTTAGCCTGAATTGTGATGAGTAAAGATTAAGTCATGAAAATATAAATCAGTGTCAAAGGTTAAGGGAAAAAAATAACATTAGAATTAGAAATCATGGACTGATACTGAATTCATATTAATCTCAGTTAGCAAAACAGTCCAATAAAACATTGAATCAATTGTTTCAGCTTAGTATGTTTACAGACCAATTAGGATGTAAACAAGCAGTATACTTTATCAGATATATTCTACTTCAATAGTGACCTAAATGTATCTAACAACTGCATGATTAAATATAATACTTCCTATTAACAGTCTATTCTTCTTTCCATGGCCCACCCAGGATCTGGCTTTTAACTTGGATTTTAAAATATGACCTAATAGGGCTCACCACTGTTCACATTTCATCTTCAAACGAGATTTTTATGGAATGATTAATTTCATGTAAAGGACAGACTCGGTTAACACTCCGAGTAGAAAATATCTTAAAATTATCAAGACTATCTACAATACTTTCACATTTCTCCAGCAATCTATGAACTATGAAAAAAGTGTAGAGAGTTAGAAACAATCAACAGACCATTATCATGTGCTAGATAAAAATTTCTGTTGACATGCTATATAGCCCAGTATATTTCTATTTTTCTTTTTCATGTAGTTTCTGACTGAGTCAATACAACAGCGTCATTGTACTACTCTTGAAGATAAAGACAGGTCAACTTAAATTTTATCTATATAATATACCTAAAGAGGAGCCCTAGTGGCATAGTGGGTAAGTGCTAGGCTCCTAATTGAAAAGTCAATTGTTCAAACCCACTAACCTTAAGGAAGCAAACAGGCATGATATGACGGGGCCTGTGAGAGGGTCTTGTGGTAAGGGTGGCCCCAGGCACAAAGAGTGATCTCCAGGCAACAACTAACAAGAAAACAGGGACCTTAGCCACACAGCTGCAAGGAAATGAATTCTGCCAACAATATGAATGAGCTTGGAAATGGATTCTTCTCCAGATGAGAACAGAGTCTGGCTGATACCTTGATTTTAGCTTTGTGAGACCTTGAGCAGAGTATGCTGCTTCAATTTCTGAGCTCCAGAGAATGTGTTATAATAAATGAATATTGTGTTAAACAAGGAGCCCTGTTAGCACAGTGGTTAAACACTTGGCTGCTTATGGAAAGGTTGGCAGTTTGGACCCACCAGCTACTCTGTGGGAGAAAGATGTGGCAGTCTGCTTCTATAAAAGATTATAGCATTAGAAACCCTTTGGGGAGGTTTTATCCTGTCCTCCTATAGGGTTGTGATGAGTTGGAATGGACCTTATGGCAATGGGCTGGGTTTTGGGTGTTAAACCACTAAGTTTGTGGTAATTTTTATACAGCAATAGGCAACTGATACAAGCCGAAGGCATTAATATAAACTTCCCACTGTTAAGGAGACTGGGACAGAAAGATGAACTGATATGCCTAATTTTATTCTATAAATTAGTGACAGGACTGAGCCTGGTACCTAGGATCCTCATGTATACACCAACATTGTTTTCACCGTATCATAATGCCCACACTAATGAATATTATTAGAATTTCTTTACCCCACCAACAAGATGGATAATTGAAAGCATAATATATTGCCTCCTTTCAAAGAATTGACTGCAAAGTCAAGCAATTATTTTATTAATTCTTACATCAGTTCTGTAATCAAAACATTACTAAATACAAAGTTGATAATATTTTAAAAGAATCATGAATCAAATGCTAATCCTCATCACTGAACAAACAATATTCTGAATAGTCAAGATCAGGAAATATAATAGGTAATTCTACCCACTTTTTGTATTGTTTCTTTAGTGAATTATTTTTGAAAACGACTACAAAATTCTTTATTTTCAGACAGGGCAAATCTAAACCTCTGTGTACCATCATCGTCCCCCAAGCCTGGAAAACAAAAGAGAGAGCAAGAGGCAAAATTAAATGTGTATCAATTAAGCATTTATTTTGGCCAAGTAAAATTAAGTCCATAGCAATTTACTCACCTGGCCACATCTGCAGATAATCTCACCATTTGTTTGATAGTCGGCAAACTTGCTTTGCAGTGCTTTGTTTTCTCTCACAATATAGAGTTCCCTAAAATTAGCAAGGAGTAAGAATCATCTCTGAGAAGTCACAGAGGGCCCATATGCAACCCACAAGGACATGATGTTGGACACGAAGTGTACTCATGCCATTATCACACATCTCATTTCTTGTCTCCTTCCTGGGTCCCCAGATCACTGGCAAAGAAGACAAGAAGCGTCTTTCTGCACATAACCATTTTTTTCCCTCTTCAGCACTCCTTGCATGGTGACGAGAGTTAAACGAGCTTGGCTGCCAACCAAAAGGTTGGAGATATGAGCTCACTCAGACGTACCTTGGAAGAAATGTCTGGTGATCTAGTTCTGAAAAATCAGCCATTGAAAACCCCGTGGAGCACAGTTCTACTCTGACACACATGGGGTCTCCACGAGTTGGGATTAACCTGATAGTAACTAGTTGGTTGGCTCCCTTTTCAAGTCTATTGATTATTTTATCCTGACTTTACTTGTTCAACAATTTGAGAACAAATATGAGCATATACAAAATGATATGGCTTACATCAAAATGCACTGGGTCTCACATTGCTCCCTTTCTTCCCCAGAGCAGTTTATTTAATGTATACAGATGTTTGAAATGGAAATATAATTTTGGAGGAGATACTTCTGACAAATAAAGAATTTCACATGTATTGTTTTGGATAAATGGAGCCCTGGTGGTGCAACAATTATGCACTCAGCTATGAGCTGAAAGGATGGTGGCTTAAACCCACTTAGTAGCTCCCCAGGAGATACTTGGTGGTCTTCTTCCATAAATATCACAGCCAAGAAAACCCTATGGTACAATTCTATTCTGTCACATGGGGTTGCTAGAAGTCAGAATCAACTCAATGCCACCCAACAACAACAAAAAAAATTTTGTAAAACAATCTAAAAATGGGTCTTCCTGGACTCACTTGAATTTCGGTGTCATATTGACATGATGCATCTTCTCAATTACATGAATATCTTCTCCAGAGCAGGCTAGCACACTGCAATTTTTGCAGAGGAAAGTGATTAATGATGGATTGTCCTTGAAATGTTTTGCGGTACTTCTCTTGATTTTCATTTTCTTTTCCATTATACTTTGCATTTGTAATTCGAAAATCTGCTTCAAGAAAAGAATATTTAATTTTTTGATTATTTTTATTTGGGGATCATATATAATAATGAAAATATACCCTTAGCTTGTGGCTAGGAAATAAAAGTAATGAGGCAATGACCCCCAGATAATTTTGCATACAGTCTTCTCTTGTAATTATGGAAATTCTTAAGTGTTCAGAAACCAGGTGATTCTATTTTAGATAAGCTCTACTGTGATAAAGTTCTTAGCGACATTCAAAATTCTCTCCCTCTAAGCTCTCCAAAGGAGCTCTGGTAGCATAGTGGCTCAGGCACTTGACTGATAACCAGAAGGCTGGCGGTTCAAACCCACCAGCCACTCCCCGGAGGGAAGATGGGGCAATCTACTTCCGTAGTGATACTGCCTAGGAAACCCAAGGAGGGGTCACTATGAGTCGGGGCCGACTTGACGGCACACAAGAACAACAACAACAAACTCTTCAAGGGGAGCTCTGGTAGCATAGTGCCTATGGCACTTGAGTGCTAACCAGAAGGCTGGTGGTTCAAAGCCACCAGCCACTCCTCAGACGGAAGATGGGGCAATCTACTTCCATAGTGATACTGCCTCGGAAACCCAAGGAGGGGTCGCTATGAGTCGGGTCCAACTTGACAGCGCATGACAACAACAACAACAAGCTCTCCAAGAAGGAGCCTGATGGAACAGCAGTTAAAGCACTTCATTGCTAACTGAGAAGCTGGCTGTTCAAACCCACCATCATTTCATGGGAGAAAGATGTAGCATAGCAGTTGCATCCCTAAAGATTACAGCCTTGGAAATGCCATGGGGAGTTCTAGTCTGTCCTATAGGGTCACTCTGAATTGGAATTAGCTGCATGTCAATGGGTTTTGGAAGTCCCCATTAGCTTTAATTGTAATCCCATAAAATAGGTCCAAACTTTCTTCCACATGAATTCTCTTTGAAGAGCTAAAGACTGTTAGTACACTACCCATAAGTCTCTTATCTATGTTAAGTCTACCAATGCCTTCCATCTTTCCTTATATGCCATAATTGCCAGACCTTTCCCTTCTTTACATACTTATGGCAAAAACCACTAGGTTCCCCATCCAGTATCCTTTCTTCCTTAGGAACACAACCATGATTTTATATGAGATAAATATGCATAGTTAAATGATTACACTTTCCAGACACGGCCAATGGGATGTAAGCTGAAGTTGCCGAATGAGATTTCTAGAAAGCCTCCTTAAGGAAGATCAGATAGCTGGCATGTGACCTTTTTGCCCTTTCCTACTTCCTGCCTAGAATGAGGAGGTAACAGTTGGAATTCTAAAAGCACCTTTTGACCATGGAGTGGAAGCCAAAAGCGAAAAGGGCAAAGAAGACAGAGAGAGAGAGAGAGAGAGAGAAGGCCTGTATTCCTCATAACATCATGGAGCTATCATATACTAAACTAGATTATTCAGATTCTCTTTTTCTTTTTGAGAACGAATAAGCTCCCAAGCCACTATATTCCAGGTTCTACGACAAACAGCTAAATTTATTTCATAACAAAAATACTCTAGTTTCTGAGAGATGTGAAACTTGAAATAGGGGCTGACCAGTGCTCAGTGCTCACAGCTATACAACTTAACAGTAGAAAACATGGCTCTTGAATTTTTTAACTCAAAACCAAACCATGCATAGAATGCAGATTTATATTTTTATTTACTTTTTTTTTAATTCTGAGGGGGAGTTTTCAGTAAAAGTAAATAATCAGTGCTGATGAACAAGACTGGAAGATTCCAGTCAGATTCAAAGTCATCTTTTTGGCTCTTGCCTCTGATTTTAGGTCCCAACTGGAAAGATCCATATTTCGCACAGAAAGGAAAAAAAAACCCTCCAAGTAAGTGTAGGAGCTATATAATAGTTTGACCACACAAGTACAAAGACTTATTTCCTACCTGAATTCTAACAGTATGATGAACTGAAATACTTCCTGAAAGTTAAATTATGTTGTTCTTGCGAGACTTAATATTTATAGTTCAGTGAGCTGATAAAAAGGTGATTTGGCATAAGATTAAATACATGAAGACAACTAAGAGATATTTATGTATGAGTGAGACAGAAAAAAAAAAGGGTACAGATACATAACCACTAGAGCAGAAGCTAAAAGATTACCTCTAGAACATTAAAGAATATTAGAATATTAAAGGGATATGAAATTATTAGAAAGACAAAAGGAAAAAAAAATCATGGTAAATATATGAGAGGCACAACTATAATCAGTCTAAGTTCAAATAAAATACAGTAATGTAGCAGAAGTAGTTGGGTCAATGCTAGGGAAATTTAAAACCTTCATCTTACTGCTAGCAGTCTTACTTAACAAGGTTTCAGTTATCTATAAACTCTGCATATGAGATGGCAAATACATTTCATCTTATGTGTCGACTGTCATCATTTATTAGTAGTGGCCTGAAATTCTGTTATACAGATTCTCAAATCAGAAGAAAGGAGTGCTGGGACCTAGTAGCAACGTCTACTAGAGACTTTGAACAGAGTGGTGATGGCATGTACCCCACATCATTGCCATCTCTGCTCTGAGTGTGTCTACCTGGCATAGTTTTACGAGGGCAGGTCTCTCAGCCAAAGGGACTCTAGGAAAGTAGTGCATTCTGGGATCCCCAAAAGGATTGTGTTTGGAAAAGTTTGACCTATAAACTACAGAGACTGTACTAGAGTTTACCCAAACACTAAAACAAATAGTCTTCAAACATCAGTTTTTGTAAATATTTACTTGATTCATCTTCTTAAGGCATTAAATGTGAGACAGTTACTTTCTAGTGGCACTATTTGGTCACAAGTGTTTGATTTGACACTGCAAAATGTTTGGTTTGCCTTATATTTAAAGGGGTTTTAAAATATAAGTTTGTGTGGAAACCTGGCTAGAAAACCTTGGAATTGGTTATAGCAATGCACACCAATTTGAAAGCATCCCTTTCGTGAAACTCTATTTAGGGTAGAGCCAATTCCAATGTTAAGAAACTAACATTCACACCCATATGCAAGGGTGTGAATTTTCTTCTAAATGGATTGTTTGCTATTATAGTAGTTAGTCTTTAATTCAGTGGTATGGGGGATTTCCTGAAATATTGTAGGAATACATTCCTCCTTCCCTGCTTCCTTCTCACAAATAAAAGACTATATGTTGGTAAATTGAGATGTAGCTAGATGACATATTATGGCTTTTTTCTTTTTTTTTTCCCAATCATTATGATCCAGCCTCAATGTCACTTCCTCTAAGAGGTGTTTTCCAACTACCCAATCTAAAGTAGCCAGGTAGTCACTTATTTCACCTTATCCTATTGCATCTCTATGATATATTTCTTGCCTTTTAATTTCTGGTTTTTGTTTCTCCTCGCCATCCTCATCATGGGGGTAGGGGAGGAGAAACAACACCATAAGGGTGGTCCACATTAGTCAAAAGGTTGGCAGTTTGAACCTGCCCAGAGGTACCCCAGAAGGCAGGTCTGGCAATCTGCTTCCCAATGGCATAACCTTGAAACACTATGGAGCAGTTCTCTCCACACAGACAGGGTCATCATGAGTTGGAACTGACTCAATGGCAGCCACCACCATCCACATACTCTCACCATGCACACACTGGAATACAAGCTTCCCACAGTAAGATCTTATTTGTCTTGTTTGACACTATGTTCCCTGTTCTTAAAGCAGTGACTGGCACACTGTAGCCATTTCATAAATAATTATGGAATAAAGATTTATGCCTAAACAGACTGAATCAAACAAAAATGATCAAATTACTAGATTGGGTTGAATGGGTAATCTATACTAGTCTTTCTGGATGAACCAAATCAAACCCACTGCCATCAAGTCAATTCTGGCTCACAGAAACCCTATAGAGTAGAGCAGAACTGCCCTATGAGGTTTCCAAAGAGGTAAATTTTTATGGAAGCAGATTGCCTCATCTTTCTCCCATGGAGTAGGAGCTAGGTTTGAACTGTCAACATTTTGGTTAGCAGCCAAATGCCTTAACCACTGCACCATCAGAGCTTCTTTTCTGGGTGAAGGGCAATATAAATTTATATTATCAAAGTTTACGGTTGATGCAACTGGAATAGTTCCCTGACAATATCCTGTTCACCATGGATCATGTTTCTTTGTGTGTGAATCTGGGCTAAGCATAGATCATGAAACTGGAACTTCTAATTCAGCACAATTTCTGTCTGAAGACTTAGCCACAGAGATACCAATGACAACCACATACGGTCATTTTAAAATGAAAACTAAATTCAGAGAGGGACAAGAACTGTACCTTATGAGCATACTCCTCCGGTTTCATATTTCGAACACGGTCTATAGCTTTATACATCATTTTCTCTCGGAAATCATTAACTATCTCACGTTCAACAACTCCTGAACCACAGGGGGCAACCACGATGTAGGTGCTCTCATCAGCTCTCGCTCGACCACGGGCCTGAGAACATAAAGATATCAAGTCATTGAAAGTCTATGCCTTGCTATAAATTTTTGTGTTCTTGACCTGGAAAGATATCATTACTCAGTGTATCATGCTTCACATGGGCTCTCTTTCCTCAGTTAAGTTAGTTCTTATACATTCTTTGTAATTTGGCTTTTTGAAATTCAAATTACACTTTAATAGGAAACAATGTTCTACAAAGATGATGGTCAGGTGTCCATACTAGTCCTCTAAAGCCTCAATAACGCAATACCATCTTTCCAACCTTCTTGTTCCCGTAACACCTTCCTCAGGTCCCTGAGTGGCAAAAAACAGTTATGCACTTAACTACTAGCTGAAAGGCTGGAGGTTCAAACCCACCAGAGGCACCTTGGAAGATAGGCTTAGTGATCTGCTTCTGAAAAGGGACAGCCTTGAAAACCCTATGGGGCAGTTTTACTCTGCACACATAGGGTCACCATGAGTCAGAAGTGACTTTACAACAACTAACAAAAATAACCGTCCCTTCCTTGAACCATAGGAACTGTCATGAGAGACTTGGACAACCACTGCTCCTGCCTAGTAGGAAGGATGAATGGGGAGAAGGAGCATCTCTGACCATGGAACTAGGGCTCTTAAAACTGTAGTTCTGTCCTGGCATCCTACATTAGATTTTTTTAGTACATTTTTACATGGAAAAATGTTCAACATGGTAATAAATGTCTACAGGCCTATTAATAATGGGATATTGAGGTATATTTTGAGTAATAGAAAATTTTGTGGGCTTTCATAGGAGCCTAATTACCAACTATAATATTATTCTTATAGAAAAATGCATTCTGAGTAAGAAGCCACTGACATACAAATCAACTCCAGAAATATAATTACTTCCTAATTTGGGGATTGTCTAGTCATCTTAGTATCCCATGAGAATGCAATTAAAGTATTTTTTTCTGAAAATAAAAGCATTAGATAAATTGTTCAGTATAGCTGATTAACAACAAAAGGTACTCAACACAAAGTACTCAACAAAAGCTAACCAATAACATTGTTAACATAGTGTGGGTAAGTGAAAGTGAAATTTGATTGAAAAGTGAGACATCACATCTCTTTTGGGGGCAGTAAGCATTTATAAGTCTGCCCCCTTCCAACAGTTTATTATTAAAAATTTCAACCATACAGAAAAGTTGAAGGAATAAGGAAGGAAAATGCAGAAATAGCAGGATTAGAGGAACAGCTCAAGATGGCATTTCAGTCAGACAAACCATTCTGCCTCTCTACAACAAAGACCTGAGAAACCAAGCAAAACATATACAGATGATAATCCTGGCATGTTGAGCATCAGAAGGAAAGATGACGAATTGGAACATGAACTGGAAGGGGAAACTGAACAAAAAGAGCAAATTGAGGAGAATTATGGATTGGAGGTGCCCTGCTAGCTGTACCAATGCAGCATGGCCATCTTGAGATAAAGTGAGCAGTGATCTAAGTATTCCTAGAATTCCCAGCAGGAGACAGAGTAACAGTGTAGACAAACCCAGAGTGAAGCAAAGTGAGCAGGACATGAACCGGACCTAAGAAGGGAGAGCAGGACATGAACTGGACCTAAGAAGGGAAAGTATAGGAAGGCAAGTGAGAGCTCCAGGGATCCTGGTGACCACAGAGCAGGGAGGGATCTAGGCAGCAGAAAGAGGAGTACCCCCTGGTGCAGTCCCTGACCATTAGGGTGGGTAGCACACGCAGGGCAGCAGATCCATAGAGTATCAGCAGGAGGTCCTCCATTCAACCAAACTCTGGGCAGCCCATTCCCCTGTTTGCATTTGGTCAGGGCCAGATCCCAACTGCTAGATACAGAGTGTGGAAACTGCCTTGGTGTCTAAGCCCATTGACCAGAGGAGCACACTCCCCTCCTTTAGCCTTCCCAGTGATGAGAAGTATGAGCCTCCCCACCCCTACTGCCTTGCCCAGCTGATGCCATGGTATGAGCCTCCCTTTATGTGACCAGAAAGATGTGTGTATGCCCTGCGACCAGCCCCCTTGCCACCTCACACACCCAGAGAGTGGCAGCATGCACTCCCACACCACCAGACTGATGATGAGTGATGGCATGTGCTTGTCCCACCTATCAACCTCTCCCACTGCCACACCTATGTGATGAATGGCAGCCCATGCTTCTGTGTCGCCAGACTGGTGACCAGTGGCATACTCTTGCTCTACCTACCCCCCACTGCCGCCTAGTCACCTGGTGGTGATGCATGCCTGTCCCATCCACCCCCCATTCCCCTCCTGGCTGCCACTGCCCCACTCACCCAGAAACAGGTAGTGAACACTTCTATGTCACCAGACCAGTGGTCAATGGAGCATACCTGCCTTACCTGCCCAATATATCAAAACAAAGCAAAACAAACAAACAAACAAAAAAAAAAAATCAGGAAAAAACAAACAAGCATACAATCAATCAATCAATATATAAATAAATAATATCTGAATGGCTTGGAGACCGGAGACAATAACAAATCATATGAAAATACCAGATAAGATGACACAAGCAAGAGAGCAAAATAAAAGGAAGATTTTCTTTCAATAATCATGTTGTTGTTATTATATGCCGTCGAGTCAGACGCGACTCATAGCGACCCCTCTTTGGGTTTCCAAAGCAGTATCACTACGGAAGTAGATTTCCCCATCTTCCTTCCGAGGAGTGGCTGGTGGGTTTGAACCGCCAGCCTTCTGGTTAGCAGTCAAGTGCCTTAGCCACTATGCTACCAGAGCTGCCTTCAATAATCATAGTGAAACTAAAACCAATCCCAGATAAGCAGAAATGAAGGGAATTTGTAAAATCCAGACCAGTCTTACAAGAAATATTAAAGGGAGTCTTTGGATAGAGAACCAATGACATCAGACAACAACCTGAGATAAGGATACATGACAATATCACCCAGACACCAGCCCAGAAAAAGATTTCACAAAAGTAAATAAAACCATAAGTCTAACACAGGGAACAAGAGGTGGTAAGCTATAAATGATGACAATTTCACAACTAAAAGGTATAGATACAGAGTTCTTTATGGAGTAGAAGTCAGAATGATTTCAAGATATAACAGACTTATAAATTTAATAGGATAAAGGTAAACATCAAGGTAATCACAAAGAAAATTAATAAATTTACTCATCAAAATAAAGGGAAATAAAAATGATTCAGAAAATATAAAACCAAAGATTGATAAGAAAGGAAAATTCATATACAAAAAAAACTCAGCACAAAAAATTAAAAGGAACAAAAAACATATTAACATCACAAACACCAAAAAACAGAATAACAAAATGACAGCAATGAGTTTACACCAATCGTTAATCACACAGAATATAAATGAGTTAAATGCACCAGTCAGGAGATAGAGAATGGCAGAATGTATTAAAAAAACGTGACTCATCAGTATGTTGCCTACAAGATATAAAAACATAAAAAAGTTAAAAAATCAAATGATGGAAATAAAAATTCATTTTTAATATCATGTATTACCAAATTCTTTTTAAGTAAGGTGTTATTCAGTTTTCATGTATTTAATTTTTCCTTGTTCTTTCTGTTATTGATTTTTAACCAAGCAAACAATAACAAAAAGAGTGTATGAGGGCAATAATTATTCTGGATAAAATAGACCTCAAGTCAAAATCCATCATAGGAGATGAAGAAGGGCATTATATAATGATGAAAGAGTCAATTTATCAAGATGACATAACAATGATAAATATTTATGCACCCAATGACAGCATTCCAAAATACACAAAACAAACTCTAACAGAATTGAAAAGAGAAATAGTTCTACAATAACATACACATTCCTCACTTATCAACATGGTTACATTCCAAAGACTAGGTTGTTATGAGAAAATCGGCATTATGCTAAAATGGGGGATTTTTTTCTTCTTCTATTTTCAGACCATCCATTTGCCCAATTTTTTGTTTAGAAAATATAATCATAAAAATAATAGCCTAGATTTACTGATATGCTCATCACTCTGACAAGTCCAGTTATGGATTATTCCTCTGTGGAAAAAAAAATGCGATTTAGAAAAGGAAGCTTGGAAGGAAAGCTGGATAAAACCAGGCCGTGTGACTGGAGGGTCCATAGCTTACCCACTTCACCTTCCTCCTGTGCTGGCTCAGAGCTTCCCTTACAGAGCTGCCTCTAAGCCTCCATGCCCACCCTTGCAAAAGCCCTTTGCTTATAGTCCCATTATCTGCTCTGCACTTGGAGCCTGGTGAATCACTGAGGCTCAGGGCTACCTGTGAGGGCACAGGGAGCCTGGCCGTGCACCCAGTTCCACAAAGGCAGAGAGGCTTCAGGCTGTTTGGCTCACTGTAGTATGTCATTAAATTTGCATGTATGTCTTCCATACACCCTTTCCAATGCTTCTTTCTTTTCTCCTTACCCATCCTACAAGGAGCTCTGGTGGTAGAGTGTTTAAAGCATTGATCTCCAAACCAAAAGGTCAGTGGTTCAAATCCACCAGCCACTCCATGGGAGGAAGATGAGGCACTCTACTTCATAAAGGTGTATAGCCTTGGAAACCCTGTGGGGCAGTTCTGCCTTGCCCCCAAAAAGGTTTGCTATGAGTAAGAATCTACTCAACTGCAGTTGAGTTCTCTTATCCTATAGCAATTTTGAGCTGCAGGGCCTCAGGCCAAGTAGGACTGGGAACCCAGAACAGGTGCCTTCTGAGTCAGTGCTCCCTGTGCACCTGCCCACAGGCCATGGCCACAAATGAGACAGCTGAGCACGAGGCCTCTGCTGGCAGAAAGGAGAAGAGGACACAAGGCAGCATAACTTAGCTTCTTGGAGACCACCTGGACATACTCTTCAAAGGAGACGACACTGCAGCTGTTGCCATCATGCCTGCTGCCACATTAATGCACAAAATAGCCACATAGTCAGATTCTTTACAATTGTCATAAATGAGAAATGGTGGATAATGAGATAGTCATTAAGTAAGGAGTAAGTGTTGTAGCAGACTTT